CAGGTGCAAGCAATAATTTCAAGGGGGAAGGAGAGAAATAGCGACAGAAGCGCTAGCCGCACCACAGTAACTAGGACTTCCCTGTCAAGCAGTTCATCATAGCGGCTGATAAGGATGCGTGTAGGTGAGAAAGATTGCTATATTGCTTTAACAAGGAATTAGAGAAAGTAGTAATTTTATACGTGCTCAGTTGCTTATAGATGAAAGGAATGAATAGCCGGAAATATTCTGGGATGTTACAAAATCAAAAGGACTTTCTGTACAGCGTGGTGATGCACGACAGGAAATTAACTCCAAAAAGAATGCTTTCTCTCAAACTGCTGCAACAGAATTGAGAATTTTTCTTTTCTAGTATCTGAAATTCCTCCTGAAGACACAGCAAGGACTATCAGAAACATCAGAGAGATTCTGGTACTTTTAAAGAGACTTAAAGAAAATGCCAGCGTAATATCTGAATGACCTTGGAGATCATTTTATGTGGATTCATTAATTCTCACTGCCAGTCTTCTAGTCTCAGGAACTCGAGGATTAAAGATGATTTTAACATTTTAAGGGCCTTTCAATTCTGTACAATTAATTACCTGCCTAATGATTCCTGAACTAATCAAGCATTTACTTAAAACTGAACACAGAAGATGCTTTCTTTTAACGTTTGCTTTCTCCATAACTCCGAATAAAATGAACAAGGTAATGTCCTGCAATTAGAGGAAAATTTTTTTAAAGCAACTATTTATTATGCTGATCATCTAATAAATATAGAAACCCTAAAACTACATAGAAGATGAAGCTGGATAACAGAATAATGGAGTAGTAAACAATGGCAGCTTTTCTAGTCAAATCAGCATTTCATTAGCTTCACAGCAGAATGCAGATGGAAGTTTCTGTTCTCGTTGTATGGGGGTTTGTGAAATGATTCAGGTGTAGCTACAGAGGTGAGCAATGTCATGGATATACCTATGAACTCCTGGGTGCTGAGCCACTGTAGCAGATATGGCAGAGTTTCCAAAGATGATTATTTTAAATTACCATTGCTGAAATTAAATTCAGGAGGATTTATTTTGTCTGTGGGAACCTTGAATTATGCTTCTGGCATTAATAATTGTAATGGACTATAACTGTTTGAAGGAATTGTGAATATTGACATAAGTCTCCAAATTCTATTCTTAAATTATTTTCATTTTTAAATGAATAGGTCTTCCTCATTGTATGTGAGATGTATGTTTTCTTTCTTGGGAGTCAGAGGACAAATCTGCCTTGTCCCCCACCCGACTCCCTCCAAATAAAATTCATTATTCATACCCAAACAGTGGTGAGTCTATTGGAATTAACCTTGACAAAAGTGTTTTCCTTACATTTCCAATAAATAGCATGGATAAGACGGAATACAATCTCCTGAATGGAGCCAAAAAAGACAGCGTTAGATGGTGAACTTTTTCCTTTCCTCGTCAGTCAGTTTGTGATTTAAATTGAGACATGAAAAAGATTATCTCCAGTAACTGCTGGTCCAGGAAACCTGAGCTGTACTGAGGTTCCTCCTTCCCTTCCTCACCCCATTATGTTCCAAAGTAAATGACTTTCTCAGGAAAATAAGCAGCCAGAGATTTCCCCCCCTCCTTCCCTGGGAAACGAATGTGTCTTTTCAGTTATTATTTCCTTATTTCACAGTACCTGTTTGTTTTTGAAGTGCCTTGTGTTTGCTAAAGATTGGTCGAGAGCACTGGAGGAGCTGATCAGTGGCCTTTCTCTTTCTGGCTTTTTTTTTTTTTTTTTTTTTTTGAAGGATCACCCTTTTGTCTCTTCTCCTGCTTTTCTTTTCATCTTAATTGCTATGACCCAAATTGACCTAAAACTAAAGCTAAGGTTTCCACACACTAATGTCTTGGAGCACCTCAGGTTCTGGATGCCTACCTTGGAAGAAGTCTTTTTAAAAATGTCAAGTCCCTAAAAGGCATCTCAATCAAACTCCCCCACTGTCTGTCTGTCTTTCCTTAAAGCTAAGGTGTGCCAGAGGTGATGCACTGATGCTGAGGAGGCATCAACAGCTATGGGACTATGGGACTGTAATCCTCTCAAATGTAAGCACTGGCAGTGTCTACAAAGAGAAATCGTGAGACGCTGAAGCAGAGTTTAACTGCTGCTAAGCAGGTCATCTGCTCACTAAGGCTCAGATTGCAGTGTTCCCTAATCACAAAACATGAACCAGTCCCGATGGATTGAATGGAGGACTCTGAATATGAGCAGTAGTGTTATGAACATATCTGAGCATCTCTCCTGCCCTCTTGGATTTGGTCACTACAATGCAGTTGACATCTGTATCCTTGAGACAGTTGTTATTGTCTTGCTAACATTTTTAATTATTGCGGGTAACTTAACTGTGATATTTGTTTTTCACTGTGCTCCACTTCTGCATCATTATACCACCAGCTATTTTATTCAGACCATGGCCTATGCTGATCTTTTTGTTGGAGTTAGCTGCTTGGTTCCTACTTTGTCACTGCTCCACTACTCGACAGGTGTCCACGAGTCCTTGACCTGTCAAGTTTTTGGATATATCATCTCTGTGCTCAAAAGCGTGTCTATGGCATGTCTTGCTTGCATCAGTGTGGATCGCTATCTCGCTATAACAAAGCCTCTCTCCTATAATCAACTGGTCACACCTTGTCGCTTGAGAATCTGCATCATTTTGATCTGGATATACTCTTGTCTGATCTTCTTGCCTTCCTTTTTTGGTTGGGGAAAACCTGGTTACCATGGAGATATTTTTGAATGGTGTGCTACCTCCTGGCTAACTAATGCCTATTTTACTGGCTTTATCGTGTGCTTACTATATGCTCCTGCTGCCTTTGTCATATGTTTCACATATTTCCACATTTTTAAAATTTGCCGGCAGCACACCAAAGAGATAAACGATCGGAGAGCTCGATTTCCTAGCCACGAAGTGGATGCTGCTGGGGAGACTGGGCACAGCCCTGATCGCCGCTATGCCATGGTTTTGTTTCGGATAACCAGTGTGTTCTACGTGCTGTGGCTCCCTTATATCATATACTTTCTGCTGGAGAGCTCTAGGGTGTTGGAAAACCCAGCACTTTCCTTCTTAACGACATGGCTTGCTATAAGCAATAGTTTCTGCAACTGTGTGATATATAGCCTCTCCAACAGCGTTTTCAGGCTGGGACTGCGGAGACTGTCGGAGACAATATGTTCATCTTGTATGTGTTTAAAAGACAGGGATGTACGGGACCCTAAACCAAGAAAACGGGCTAATTCCTGCTCCATTTAAAGAAAACTGGTGCATGTAACCAAACGCGGAGTTTTGATAGTATTTGCTGTATCTGGAAACTTGCCAGAAGCGAAATGTTTACTTGAATAGTTTGCTATGATGTTAGGGTGAGTTTAAAAGTGCTTGCAGAAAAGGAAAAGGCTGCTGTAAGAGGGGTCACTGAACTTGAATATAGCTCTTGTGAAATTGTGAGGAGAGCAATTTGACAGAGACGATGAAGAAGGTCAGAACTAAAAATCTTCCAAAGGGCGTGAAATAACTACCACATCAGAGGAAGTTCCTCATAAAATAAATAAGCTAGTTACTACCTTATATTTTCCCCCTTGTAGAAAAGTTGTCTTACTATCTTTGTGTCAGAATACACTGTAGCCTTCCGAATTTAAATATATTTAAGAGGAAACAATCAACAACACAGTAAGTGGCTATCCGTAAATTATATACCTGAGGACTATAGTAGATATTGCAGATTAATAGTCAGCTCTATCTCTGCTCACATCTTGTACAATTTTCAGTTGTACAAACAATCCGCAATGCATAAAACCTACACGGGGCATGACGCTTTTGGATAAAGTGGCACATTTTGATACAACTTCCACAGAAGCTCTCCCTCTCATTCCCCCTTTTTTTCCATGCTGTGCATCCCTAAATTGCATCGCGTCCAAGTGGTTTAGTTTGAGGGCACCTACGAGGTAAACTGAGTTTCAAACCATTCTTCCTGGAGAAAGCAATAGCCCTTCCCGACTGGCTGAGTAACTGCAGCTGCCCATGTACAATGGCTTTTTCAATCTTTCATTCTCTTGATCCTGTTAAATTAGTACACAGTATTGATGTAGTGTCCTTTAGGGTGTACTAAAGCTTTTCCTTTATTGGCTACACAGATAATCCTAATGCAAATATGATAATCGCACACAGCAGTGTGCATCACTGCTTAGAAAATTAAAACTTAACTAACCCTTTTCTTTGGGAAGTCTAAATAGCTTACTGTTGTAGCTGTCAAGCCGTTGTGTAAACCTAGCTTGCACATACTGTATTTTTTTTAGAGAAAACGTAAATTGTGGTCTGTGCCTAATGTTTTCATAGCACATGGAATAGGTCAATGCTACAGGATTATAAAATTACACTTGCTTTAAGAGAAATACTACCTGTTTGTTAGACAAGTGTTCTTGGAGGGGGAGAACAAGACAGCTTAGTATTAAATACAGGCAAAGACCTTCAGTATTTCCTTTTGTATTGAACTGATTTTCAGGTCCACTGATGAAATCTTTTTTATTTTGCAAGGGCGCACGTTAGGTTTGTGTAATAAATTGCCAGGGGTTCAGATGCATGCCAATCAATAAAATATTTAAATTATTATTTTGAACCAAATGTAATTTTCTTAGATGGTTATTGGCTTTTTAAGAAGGCCCAATTATTGATTATTGGTGCCTTTTAACACTGCACTATTATTCCTTCTTCCACCAAAATGCATATGTAAAGATCGTGCCTATTACTTTTTGTAATGGAAGCTAACCACGCTTGCAGACTTGTGATTTGACTCTAGAGCTCCCTTAATTATGTATTCTTTGTTCTTTTGAGGTGGTTCTGAACCCCTGTACATTTTTTTAAACCTGTAAGAAAGTTGAAACAATGGAATAAAGTAGTATTATGTATATCAAAACCAGCCTTGGCTTTAGTTCCCTGATGTTATGCTCTGTTCTCTGTGAAAGTTCTTTTGGGCTAGGACTCAAGAGTGAATGGTTTAAAATCCAAACCTCAAAGCCGCTTACTTGACATCTTAAATGTTTATATACCAGTTTCTAGCATTGCACAATCTTTAAAGCAGATTGAAATATGACTTGAAACATTCCTCTAGCTAAGCTGAGCTGTTGCTGGCAATTAGTCCTGATAGGTATTATGGAAAAACGAGTAGTATTCATTGCACTTATCTCATAATGCTCTATGTCTACAGGAATGCGTCTGCTGCCTTCTTTTGAAAAGTTGCTGTTTATCTCAGAAGGCTCTTTTTGGCTGACTGGTGCTCTCTAAGGTTGTGTAACCCCATCTCTTCTAACAAACACCACTTGGATTCCTTTTGTTTTGTCATTATTTTGTCATTGTTCCTTGCTTAGTAGGTCCTCGGCGTGCAAGACGTAGACAAGGAACAATGAAATAACTCATTTCTCACAACTCTCGGGGCTGATTTCATACCAGTAAAGTAGTTTTATTTCTGTGCTCTAGAGCTGGCCGCTTACTGCTTCTT